TTCGACGTACTTTATAATCTTCGGAATTCTGCAAGATTTCACCCCCAAAATGCTTGAAATCACATTTCAGGGACTCTAAATTTCAAAATTTTCACGGGGGTGCATGCCCCCGGACCTCCATAGATGGTCTCGCGCCTTCGGCGTTCGCTTCGCCCCCCCCCCAAAATGAAGGTCTGGCTACGCCACTGTTTGTTCCCTGACATTGTTAGAAGACCTCTTCAATAATGGGGGAAAATTTCCTCAATATAGAACATTGGGATGTATGCTATATACATGTACTCAGGAACAAGGACTTTTCATGATTTTCAAGACCCATGGACCCTGGCAGTTACTTCTATCTTACAATTTCTATCTAATTTCCAGGCTCTCCAGAGAACTTTGTCACCTTACCGTTTGCAAGTTCCAGTAAAACGTACGTGCTATCCTTTGACATTTTTTTCAAATCATCTGGATCAGTTTCGATCAAAGTGGAAGTGGGCGACACCAAAACGTACACACTTGTTTACAACACAAGCGAAACTCTCGTGGAAATACGACAAGATGGTGCTACCTATGGAATAGGTTTGACACACAAGTGCCGAAAAATTACGAGAAACCTATGGATCGATTTGAACAAAGCACTCAGAGAGAAATTAGGCCGCAAGAAAGACAACAAGAAAAGGGCCAAGCTTCGTTTAACTGAGATACAAAGTTTAACTTTACAAGGGGAGGGTTTTATAGGTAAGGTAAATAATAGCTTTGGTATATAGCATTTTTACGAATATAAGTGGGTTTCATCCAGTGAGCTCTATATTATAATTTGTATATATCTGGAGCGAGAATATCACTAGTTATTCAGCATATAATAAAAGTGAATTCCAAGTCACCTTATCACAACCCACACACCCGTAAATCTATATATACATGAACTTGCGGTCACAGTTTGACAACTGGCCTCTGTAGCTCAGTTGATTAGAGCGCTGCACCGGAATCGCAGGACTGCGGGTTCAACGACCTGCCAGAGGACCCAGTGTTGCATTTTTCGCCACCGTCCTGGTTTGGTCTTAAATTGTGTATAAAAATGCTCACTTGGATTATCCACCAAACAGATATGAATATACCCAAATTTGGAGGAGATCCAGATACCATGCAAATACCTAAAATTAAAGTCTCAATAAGATGCCAAATACCCGGTAATTAAACTGTCCCGATACCATATACGGTACCACAAATAAAACGCCCAAGATACCCGTATACCAGAAACCCCTGCCCAGGCCAGATCTGCTGTTATCCGCCTATAACAGTTGGCTGTGCTATATAGTTGATGGCATTGCAACTGCTATAAAATAGCCCATTCGGCATTCTGAATTTTGTTAACAAAAAATCATTTCATGTCTAGATAATGTCACTCTAATGGAAAATGGTCACAAGGCTGCGTTCTTGGCCGCGGCGCGTTGGCTTTTGAAGAACCAAGATCAGAAAGGCGGATGGGGGATTCCAGTGAAGCGAAAACTCAAAACTGGAGCGGAACTGGAGCCAGGCTGGTACTCCGCGATGGCCCAGGGGCAGGCATTATCCATCCTAACTAGAGCATACCATGTTACCAAAGACTTGGAGTACCTGAACGCCGCAAAGCGGGCCACTGCATTATTTCACGTGAAATCAAAAGACAATGGAATCTTAGCTATTTTTATGAATAAATTCAAATGGTACGAAGAATACCCAATGACGCCATCACTTTTTGTTCTTAACGGCTTTTTGTACTCGCTTATGGGACTCTACGACTTGAAGATGACCCTACCTTCAGAACAAAGAAGCGAAGCCGAGGGTCTGTTTAAAGATGGAATGACATCGCTAAGAGCTATGATTCTAATGTATGATAGTGGTTCAGGGACCATATACGATCTAAGACATCTAACCATGGATGTTGAACCCAATTTGGCCCGCTGGGACTACCATGCCACGCACGTCAACCAACTGACTTGGGTGACCATGATAGATAGCGACCCGTTTTATAAGGAAGTGCTGAAAAGATGGAAGGGATATTTTAAAGGCATTAGAGCAAAACATAACTGAGGCATAGTTTTGCAAGTTGTTTTCAGTGTGAAGAAAAGTTTGTAAAGGACTGCTGGGAAACGTTTCCACTTCCCTGTTAACGCAAATTTACTTCTCGTAAAAAATTGTATATTGTCCGTCGTCATCTCATCATAATAGAGACCTTACGATTTTAGGACGGTAACGCGACGACGACGGCCAAAACAAACTCCTTCAAATAAATGGTAGTAAAGATAATTCGTGGTATGTCATCAATCGTATGAATACAGTCTTAGAAGACATGGGTTTTATGTTTGGGAAGAGTGCTGCTGAACCCAGTTTGAAGTTGCACTTGTTGCGGCTTGAAATGCAGCCGTTGTATCAAGACGTGAAAATCTGTGATTTGGCGTTGTACGATGTCTAAATTATTCATATATTGTGATTATTCAATTCTTTTCAATGATTTATTGTATTGGTAGTAGCTGCCGTCCTAAATCGTAAGGTCTATATTGGCTTGTGCATGCAAGCTGGGACGTCGAGTATGGCTCTGTTCATCTGATATGTTATCCGACGAAAGGTCTCACCACAGTGAAAAGAAAGCTTTAAATTTGGCTACGAGTACGACGGTGAGGATCGTCAAGAATCCCGTTGTCGGTTGTCAATTTGGTGATGGCTACGAGATTTGTAAGGAGTCCAAATAAACGAATCTCGTAGTCGTACTCGTAGCCAAATCTCTCTCTTGTTTTAATATTGTGACAGAAAAAATCATACGTTGTGGTGGGAGTGTAATGGTGTATGTTTATGTCTGTTACTGATCATGAAGACACATCAAATACGATGGTCTCGGGGGCGGGGCTCTCTGTTTCCGTGTTCACGTGAAAGTTTCTTTTGTTCCCGAAAAAAGATTTCACCCATTCTCCCAGACTCGTTGAAAATTAGGCTCTGGGTTAGAGATCTTGGGCCGTTTGTTCAAAGGTGGGTAAACGGTAAGCCTCGGTTAAAATTTAACCTGCTGTTTTAGTTTATATTTCAAAACTTCAGAGAAGTAAAGTCCAATCGATCCAGACAAGATCTCTGAAGAAAGTTCCAAATTTACAGACAAGCTGTCAGGGCGTTTGCTTTGAATTTTAGGTTAACCTAACCCAGCTTTGAACAACCGGCTCCTGATTGGCTTGTCAGAGAACTGGTATTTCCCAGAAGCTGGGCAGTTGTCGCTTGGACAATTATTCTATCAAGGTATGACGTCACAAGTACTTTTCTGTGAAAATTATTACGGGTGCTAAAGCGTCCCAATTCAAGAGTATGTGCTCTAGAAACTACTGCAAGTTTTCTTGCACTTCCGTGTTTCCTAACCCTTAATAATACGAAATTCGTTGCGAAGTTCAAAAGTTCATACTGAAATTCCCAATTCGGTTTGTAAACAAAGTCTGATTGGTCCCTGAATTAAAAGAAGCCAGTCAAACGCTTAGTTTATAAACCGGTTTGTGAATAGTACAACATAAGTTCAGTTTTGGACTACTGTTACCCCAACCAATCGAATGCACTTATTCTACCTGATTAACCAATCAAATGTGTAAGTGGCAGTCAAATCTGAACGTCTAGATATTTTGCTCGTGTAGATGATAAATTTATCTCAAACTCAATAATTCATGAGCAAATTAGCGAATGAACTCACCCTAATTCGTCACATGATTGAGGTTGGATACCGCAAGGAAACACGCTAAAAATCATATACCATCACTGTTGTTAGATGAAAAACGGTTTTCATCTAATAACTGAGATCCTAATTACAAATTCAAGTCAAAACACAACAATATACTATAATAATATATATAAGCCAATGAAATGTTTTCGTTTGAGATGTTATGTAAACAACTCGTTTCTCGTGTTTCATCAGGGGACCAAACACTCGCAAACAATAAAACACTCGCGCTCGTGTTTCATACAGTTTTCTCGTGTTTGGATCCCCTGATGAAACACTCAAACTCGTTGTTTACATATAACGTGACAAATTTATTTTATGAGCTCTTGAACTTCCCAACGAAGTGTTATGCAGCCCGAGTGGCCATTTTAAATCCCTTCCTTAAATGCTGGCGAGTGGAAGGAAAATAGGGCCTGACATACTAGACAAATAAATTTTAACAACTTTTTTTATTGGATAGTGCTGATTAGAGTAGTAGATTATTTATTCTATTGTTCGTGGAATTGACATTTCCCCTGGGACATTTTGATTGGCTACTAAATATGTTCCCTTGGGGATGGATAGCAGATAAAGGTTTGTTCAGGGCTCTATTTATAAAATATCGATCATAAAATATCGATCATAAAATAGATCCGGATACTCAGCTTGAAATTTATGTGAAATCGACTGTAACTCATGTCATATGAGCCGTCGTTATCCATGAACGACAACACAAGATCGATGGCTAGGGACGGTCAAAAGGCACATCTACAAAACCGGCATATATAATAATCTCAGAACAAAACCATTTTTATTTGAATTGAAAAACCAAGACTAACTTCTAGAAGTGGTATAAATAAAATCAAATATTTACAAAACGCGTTTCAATTGGGAAAATTTTCTAAACTAATATACGAAAACTACAAACGCCCCAAACACACAAGGGATGCTGTTGCACGAATGTTGGTCATTTGCCGGCCGTATTTTTCAGCGAAAAAAATATAAAGAATATCTTAACCGATAGCAGGAACGTAGCTGCAATCACCATAATGGAAATGATGGCGACAATTCGATCTTAAAAACAAAGCGAATTGTCGATTTCGCGAACAGAAAATCGCAGAAGACACTGCTTTGCAGACATAAAGTTTCGTAAAAAAGAAGTCAAATAAAAATCCTTGCTATATTGATATGGCATGTCAAACATTTTTGAACTGTTATCGCAGCGGATTCATCAAATTCGCAAAGAACTGTTTTTACGATGGATTTGCCGCCATCTTTTTATCATGGTGGATTTCAAACTCGCATCTAAGAAAATATCTTATTGATAACTTGCAGTCGGTTGGAATTTTGTGTGACAACAAGTCCTCTTCAACAGTATTGGTTTCCAAATAAGAATTTCCAACATTCGTACAGGCAGATCCCAACAACATAACTTTTTAAACCGCTAATCAATTTTTGATAAATCTATGATAGTAGTCTCGTGTATTTTACTCGACGGACGAAATACGCCATTCTCAAGGTTCTTCAGGGCCGGATTGCGCATGACACGCGGATCTGAGCGATGTAGAAGACTTACGCTAGACTCATCTCCAGTCTCCAAACGTCTTAACTCGTTTTCGATCCTGGAGCCCTGAGGTCGGGCGTACCGCATGATCTGTTCACGTGAGAATAGAGGTGGGTAAAATGGATAGCCGTGCTCTATTTTTAGCCCCTGACTCATCATGAGTTCGTGTTGAAGTTGAAGTTCCCTCGAGGGCGGGTACAAGCCATGAAAATAGGGAGATACGCTGGCGATGTCGTCTGCGGGTGTAAAAAAGTGTCGTGGGTGTCCGGCCGGCAAGCCCATATGCGGGTGGCCCGTAGGTATGCCTGCGTTCGGGTGTAACCACATTTCGTGCTGCGGATTCCGCCAGAGTAAGTTCGGTTCCAGGCCAATTGATGGGCTGCGCGGTTGATTATCTGGGTGCACGTGGTAATGGGTGTGGAAATGTGAATGCGAATGATGAAGCCCCGTGATTGGATCAGTTCCGACCGGAGGTGGAACCCCGGGCAAGTGTCCGGCTGGGAGCAATATCCCAGCGTCCTTATGTAGCGGTGAATTCCGATCTAATATCGTCGGCGAGTGTAAAATCGTTGGCGGTAAGTTGGGATTTCCTCGGGTAAGCGATGCTGCTTTGTGTGGGGAGTACCAGCTCTCAAAGTCTTTCATGGCCCCGGGCCGCAACCAGGGCAACATTGGCATATCTCCGTGGAGCGATACAGGCATGTGGGCCATAATAGCTCCATGTGGACCCGGAATTCCAGGGTACGGGTAGCGAGTCGCCCTCGACATGTACTTGCGATGTTCTTCCTGTTGTGACATTGTACTTGATGACGTAATACATTCCGAGCTTGATTTGCTTTCCTGTTTTTGAATTCTCTGCGCGCGCATGGCAAGGTCTTCGTTCTGTAAGGGAATAAACACAACCTATTATTAAATGCGCCATTTTATCGATATTTTTCTGAAGAAGAATGTTTTGTAAAACAAATAAAACAGTCGTAGTCTGCAGTCTGAACAGTACATATACTTTAAAATATAAAATTTATTCGTGTGAGTAAACAATTAATTCTAGTTAATAGATAAACGATCACATTCCTCGGCAAAGTCTAAAATTATTTATCATGGTTAACAATGGTAACGTACATATTGTAGCGGTAACTTAGGGATAGTAGAGGGCATCAGAGAGCTTCAGTTTTGACTACAAGTATGGCTCCACCATACGCTACAATCTCGTAGTAGATGTTTGTTTTACTACGAGACTTTTCAAAAATCCCGTTGTCAATTTAGCCACGACTACGTGATTTATAAAGTGTGTTAGTACATGTATTTGTGAGATCCTTAATAAACTGCTCGTGTTTGCCATACTACATGATAAACTCTGTATATGTTATAATTTGAATCATTGAATGACACGATCAGAAATGCACAGAAAAATTAACTTTGCAATATTGGCTGGAATGGTCTCAAGGGTTATGTCCAAGACTGTCGCTTATCTTAGCTGTCAATTGGTGGCCACAATTTGTAATCGTGCCCTGGTAATAATTAGGTGACAGACATCCTTACCTGTAGTTTTTTGTCTTTCAAAATTCTCTCCCCAGACTCTTTGGAATTGACCGCAGCCGCTTCCGGCTTCTTGTACGCCATAAAAGGCAACCCTGTTCGCGCGCTCGTTCTGCCATCAGGGACATGACGCGCGGGAAATTTACCCATTTTGAACTCGCGTTCGGGGTCGTCGAGCGATTCAGGCGAGGGACTGAGGCAAGCTTCCTCGTTCGTACTCGTTCTACTGCTTAGGCTTGTGACATCACCTTCCAGGGGGGTGGCCTCCTGTTCAGCCATGGGAGAGCTATTCCTTTCGCTTTGGTCAGTTTCTAGTTCATCATCTGATTCCTGTAAAAAAAGAGTTAAAAAAAATGAGGTCAAAATATGTTCACCTCAACTACGCACTACCTTTACAACAATTGTGATATTTTTCTATTAATCTATTTATTCTAATCCACTTATTTAACAGACCTCCCCAGCTCTGTGCGTAAATTGCCAGCAAAGTTATGCGGTGTAAAATTTAAATCTTCTATATCAACTCTGAAAGCCGGAACCAGCCGACAATTTAAGGCAATTCAGTACAAAACAAAATTAACCCTAAAATAAAGACATCTTGAAAACCCAAGACATGGTCTAAGTTTAAATGGTGGAGGCCCGTTCAGACGAGGCCAACATATTCGTCCAACATCAAAAACTATTGTTTGAACACTATGTTGGGCAAGCCTTGCCTGAAATTGGATTGGGTTTGACTTTTATTAGACGATGTTGTTGTTGTTATATGCCGATCCCATTAATTACAGAAGCATCGTTGGACCAACTGATTTGCAAATTAAGTATAAATGCCCTTTATACATGTATATAGTTGATAAATGACAAATGTATTACTCATTACAAACGGTCAAATAAATTTAAATTTGTAACTATAGTCCATATTTTAGGTTTCAAGATGTTTTCGTTTCGGTTTTTATAGTATACTACTTTAACAACTCTGTTCTTCTTGCAGTTTATATTTGAAAACAAATGACAAAGAACTTATAAATGACAAAGATTTGTTCTGACTATTGTCTATTGAGCAATGAAGTATGTTAATCTGTTTCGTCCTCTTATAACATGACAGTTTTAAAATTATTTTAAGCATGTTGCCCTGTGATGGATTAGCAATTACCCGCGATTCAAATGTTTTCTACACAAGGGTGGAAAAATAAGTGTGTTGCACGAATGACACTTCCCGAATTCGCTAGATATTGGGGTAAGATCGAGGATTGCAATGAGATCACCACTACAGAAATTATATTACACTGTGCGCAAAAGCAAATTGGGGAAGTGTTTATTAAAACGAAAATAACTTACCCGCGTGACCGATTTCTTTCGCTTTGGTGGCAAAGTGTTCTCTACCGCAGAATCTGTGGTCCTCTTCGTTCGTCTTCGTTTATTGGCTTGCGTCTATAGGAGCCAAAACATGGAACTTAAAACGTGAACAATATTTGGCGGATATAAAACTTCTTCATACGTTCCTCACGTAATGTTTCACTTACCGTTTTGTTACTTCCGGAACTGCTGGTGTTACTTCCGGTACTAGCACCGGAAGGAGAGCCTGGTTTGGATAGTCTTGTTAACTTCCGGCCAGGAAGTGGTGAGTCACGTGCGGCCACTGCTAAAAGAACAGACAATCAACTTGATCAAGCAATAATGGCGACACTTGGCGAAATATCGTGGTGAGAATTTAGGTTGCAAAAGGCTGGGTAGGGTCGGGAAACTGGAAATCTAGGGTTTTTCTGCATGAGCAGTATCGTGCAAGAAATGGTGGTCACTCAACAGTTATCAGAGTAAGGAAATAACAACTTAATTCCTTTAAGCATCATTATACACAATTTAATTTTCTTCCTCTTGTTGTGTCAATATTTTTGAGGTTGATCGTAATGCGTACTAAAACTCAATAACTGCTGCGAATTTCGGGACCCTTGTCCTATGGTATCGCTCTTTTCCATTCGATTCAGTTAATAAATGAGACTCTGGCCCTAGACTCTCGTTAGTCTTAGAGCAGAATGCGCTGTCACAATTCAGGATTGTACGTCAATTATTATATCGCTTACCATCAACAGGACTGCATGCCTTTGTGCGTCCATAACGTAGACTACTTGACGTATTAGGTGTGCTTCTGCGACTGCGCAACTGTTTACCATTGATGAAGTAATCCACCTCATTCTCTTTACCCAGCATGCCTTTGAACATATGCGGCGGTGGGTCACGTGTTCCCTCTATTTTTCTCATCACTCCGTATTTCTTGAAATATTCCAAGCAGGGCGAGCAGAGGATCAAACGTTCGTAGCCACCATGGTGCCAACTTTTTGATTTCCCTGAATAACAATGTCGACAGCAGTAGAGACTGCAAAAGAAAAGATGAAACGTCTAAAATGAATTGGTTTGTGTGAGCGAATGAATTAGTAGAATATTTTAGGAACACTTTCATTGCCACGACTGACAATCCAGAGCAAAATGGTTGCGACACACAAGAGATTTTCATAAAAAATTGGCATATCTAACAATAGCGGAAAAAATTGGCTTTGTTCTTTAATTTCTTCCCCTTCCCCCCGTTCAATGTTGTTCTCCAGTTATAGTTGTATCCCGAAAAGTGCATAACATAATTTGGACAACATTAAATTGGGGGGAAGGGGGGTTCGAAACAGGCAAGGACAGAACAACTTAAATGCATGAAAGTAACACAATTTGAAATAGTTGTTGCAATTCATTTTGCTCTGGATTGTACCTTTACTTAAACTGGATCCGGATAGCTTTATCATTTCTAAATTGTTCTTTCTACAGGCAGTATTCAAGACACCAGTCGATCATCGGCCATTTTCCAAGGAAAATATAAACGCTAATGTGCCCAGTAACATACCGCAATTGCGTGTTTGCGTTAATTGCTCTGCACAGACATTATGACCGATCATTTTGCCACATTGATTTAGATAATTTCTCCCTTATTCTTTCAAAACCAAAACGCAACTCTTACAACTCTTATTACTTAATTAGAATATACTATACAAACTACGATTCGTCGATTGGAATTCCTTTCAATTGCGTAATATTGAGGAGTTAAATTGATCAGAGGAATTGCTACAATATGTATATTGAATTTATATTCAAATTTAGTATGCAATTGAATTAATTGCAATGCAATGTGCTGTACAACTTTCTTTTTCTTTTGAGTTCTATAAAAAAATTAATGTGTGATCATACCCGACGAAAACATGGATTGGTCTGAGCAAGTTTTCAGAATTATAATAAACTTTGCCTATGAAAGAAGTGAATGGCAAGTATTTTTTTATAAAACAGTTACCTAAAATCTTTGTCGCTGTCTTCACTATGATACTCGTCGTCTTCACTGCATGAGCTCAGTTCAACTGCAAAATAAAAACATCATTTCTAAGCTTTAGTAGCATGCATGCATACAATAGTCAAATTTACATACAATAGTCAAATTTACAAAGTGATAAAATCATCTTTATAATGGAATAGCCTCAATCACAAGTAAAACATAAAATACCGTTAATGATACAGTAAATAATTAGACATCATGCTTTTTACCAATTTACGATTTGGAAAATTCATAATAATCAAAAATGGTAAGACTTCAGTTTTTCCATGGTTTCCCCCATGGTAAATCTTTACAAACCATTCAAAACCAATTATTGGAAAATCAATTGTTTTTCTGTGAATCTTACCAAATTCGCTAGACGATGTTTTCGTGGATCGAGTAATGTTACGACGACGTAGTACGTTATGGCGTCTTCGTCGATGTGGCCTGGAACTCATTGCTGATGGAGTCTTCTTCCATATATAGTAGTACTCCACTAAATCACCCTGAAAATTGTATATTGCGATTAAGACATCAGCATCTCGGGAGGATTTACTGAGGAAAGTCTGGAGCACTCCCGTGAAGAAAAGACTCCGCCCCCCCCCCC